TAGTCATTAAGCTTACTGATGAGGAGATGTAATAACAATTTTATCAAAATTAAATCTAGTTACCTTTCTTTGCATTTTTTTTACAGCATCACCTGTATTCAGAGGTAGAGCCATAGGACTTCACATATGTGAAGATAGCATGCTTTGAATGGATAAGTGCCTTCATTTAGGAAATTATTACTTCCTGTAATTTCTGACTCGCTTAAGAATTTGTAGGATTCAGTAACTAAGACTTTCAAAAAAACCTTCTATGCCTTATTATATGAAGTGGGCTCAAGGGTCCTCTTTAAATTCTGTTGGATTATTTTCACAGAAATTTGTTTATACTGCTCTTTATCATAGACACTGTGGAACAGGTCTACATAACTGAAGGGGAGCCAAAAAAGAAAGAGGAGACTAGTTAAAACCGACATTGGGAGAAGAAAATACTTGGAGCTTAAGCTGGTGTTTATGGAAAAGTAAGCTTCTTGAGAAAAGGAAACTAGCTGAAATGTTGTATTATTTGTAGAGTACCGTATAACGGATATGAATTTTAAGATCCTTTCATGATAACTTTGCCTAATTATATGCCAACATCAAGCAGTAGTTGGAAGCAAAATAACTGTGCAGTGTTCAGCCTTTTAAAAAGGGAGTTAAAATGCATACCAGCAGAATACAGACCACAGATTGTATGGTTATATATTCATGGAACCTTAGGAAATTCAAGAAGCATAATCCTTCCCTACAATGCTAATATTATTTTTGTTGTATTGTTGTTGTACTGGAAGTCTCATTACACCAAAAGTTCAAATGTCAAATGGAGCTGGTCCTTCAGGCACTTAGGAAGCGTTAAACTGATGGTACTGGCAGGAAGTAACTGTGAAGAACATGCCGGTGAAGGAAGGCAGGCTCATAGAAGTTCTTGAAACCACACAAATTTAAATACCTAATTTAGATGCTGAAGTTTGGAGAAGGGTCTTTTCAGGCTCTTCCTGCAGTCAGTGAAGAGAGGGAGAGAGAGAGGCTTCTTCAGGGAACGTCTTGGAACAGGAGCCTATCTCAGAGGTGTATGCTGTACTCTGAAATACTTAACGTTCTGAGTAAGTGGCATTTTGCGAGCTGGCTAGTGACTAATTAACCCTGTCATTTACTTAGGGAAAAAAAGCAGTTAAATGTCAGGTTTTGACTGAATTGTCAGTCTGCAGCTAGAAGCCTTGTGGGTTGGAAGTAGCTTAATAGGATTCTGTTAGGTGACTTGTCACTTGACTGATGTGTCCTGGGGGGATGCTCATAAAGGTTACTGGGAGCTTTTTTTGGACAGTGGGAACAAGCTGCAGTATATTTAAATATGACTCGTTTCATATGTTTTGCTTGCTGTTGTCAGAGCACCACAGTTACACTCCCATCTCTTGGAATGCCCTTGATGGACAGGAAGACTTGCATGTTCCTTATTTGCACAAAAAGGAAAATGAATTGCGTAGTTTAAACTGCCTTCCTTCCCAGGCTAGTGTCATGCTGAATTTTTCAAAGACTATGTGCCATATAGAGATCAAGGGTCAGGGCCTTATCAAAGTAACAGTAATCTACAGGTGCTAGCCTAGTGAGCTGAAATCCTTTGGAACTAGTGGAAATAGTCAGAATACAGACTTAATACCACATTTGTGCATGTTGTATCTCTGGACTGTGTTCTGTAACCATGGCTACTTCTACATTAAAAAAAAATAATCATAATACCAGACCGAATGCTGAGTCTGTTCTGTAGTCTTACCTTAGCCCCTGAAGAGCGGAGTTTTCCACTTTAACTTAGCTGTCAAAACATTCCTTCCCATTTTTGGGGGGAGTGAGCACTGTAGGTCCCTCTGTTCTAGAGCAGTTTGTAATGCTCTATGGGGTATTTGTATTTCTAAATGAGCTTGGTGGACAGCCACTCAGGGAATCATGTCTTTTGTCTGAGTAGACTAGATTGCTGTCACCTTGATGTTTTGTAAATTGAAACGAATAACTCCTAGTGACTTTTTTTTCAAACCTAAATTAAAATTTAGGATTAGAGAAAGAATCTGAAATCACTAAAGTATGACTTCTTTCATTTCCTTTCAAAATTTCAGAATGACCCTTTACTAACAGTACATCCACAAAGCTAACGGCAGGGAAAGGGAAAGGAAGAAAATGATTTAATTTAGCCCACTGTGAAAAATCCTTATTTGAAGAGGAAAAACTACTTTCTAGGGAGAACATTCTATTAAAGCAGAAAATGTATTTGAAAAATAGCAAGAAATGTAGCATTTTACTCGAAAACGAGTACAAATTCTGCCTCTTAACATGCCTTAAAAGGGGAAAATGTTAGTGAACATAGAATGTGTTAAGATCCTGTTGATAAATTTAAGGAAGAGCTAGACCTCTGCTCTGTAAGGTATCAGACACTGGTGCTTCCATACATCAGTTTGCTTATTCCAGTTTTAACTGCTATTTTATGGTATAACTGTCATCTTTTCCCTTTTTAAAGTTATGACATAAAGGTTTGCTGGAGGCCATTGTGAACTAGCAGATATTTAGCACTAATGAGTCGGAAGTTGTCTCAGATTTCCTGACTGCTCTTTCAGATGGATCCACCTTAAAGATAATCCTGCAGTCTAGTGGAACAGCTTTTGCTGATATAAACGATTTTACATTTATTGATGGGAAGTTTAATTTTGTCTGGTGAGGTCTGCTTGGGGCCTGCACTTGAGAACTAGCAAGAAGTACAAAGGATAGGTTAAGGGCTGGAGAGAAGTGCCTTTATTTTGTTCTAGTGTGAAATTATAAGTTTAAGCATGCTCTGAGTAAGAATAGCTGCAGAATAAAGAATTTCTCCTCTAAAAAGCTCATGTCATTAGAGGTGAAAATATAAGCCCATCGGGAGCTGGCTCCCCTAGGAACAGAACCTAGCCTGGGACTGTGATCAGCCACAGTCAGTCTCTGAAATAAGGGATATATAGCTGGATGCAAATACAGCTGATAGTGAGTATCCACAGACCACAGTTACCCAGAGATCTGTCCTAGCGCTGCTGGCTTCAGCAGCCCAGATGCCTCTTTCTTGAACCTTTGTAGCAGTTCCGCTGGCCCAGATCCTTAAGGGATGACTGGGGATCTGCGTTGCTCTTTTTTGCTGGGTTATTGTTAAGCAGGATCAGTTTCCTGAGCTAGTTCACTGGTCTGTCCCTGTTTACTGACAGGTTAACATGGTAGCTCCTAAGCACTTATTATTTTCCTTGGTTTTGCTGACAAAGGTTTGTGTTCAACCACAGCTGAAGTGGTATCTGATGTAAGATAAGAAATTAAGAGGTTGGACCATTTTACTTAGACACTTTAATGTGCTGGTGAAAGAGTTAAGTGGATGCAGGATGAGATGTAAACATAAGATTACAAGGTAGCTTGGTGGTGTGTGCATCCTTTTTGTATTCTCCTGATAGAAGTGAAGAGAAGGTGCAAAATTTGAAGAAAGGTTGGAGTAGGTCCCTGGAAACTATCTGTAAAGACAACGTAATTGCAGTTTGCAGGTGGCAGTCTGGGAGGGAGCAGACCCACGAAGCCACCAGACAGCTCTGAAAGCCTTGGAGAGAAGCGGTTCTCTGTCACTCCACTTCCCCTCCTCCGTTATTGGCCCTCTTTGCGTGAAGATGCTGGATGCCATGTCCCATTTTAACTCGTTCTTCATGGTGTTGTAATTTTTAGATGAGAGTTGATGGTGTGTCATTGGAAAGATAGGCTTCCTTACTACCTAGTTTCTATCAAATGGTTTTGGGTTGCAATATTTGCGTTATTCTCACTTATCTGTTAATTGAATTTTTAATAGACTTCTAAAATATCTTTCTGTGGTACATGTTAACTGTATTTCTTCCCAAGGAATACAGAACCCATTGGGTTTAAATTTATTTATTCTTTAAAAGCAAGGGAGGACTGTTCATGATGTAATCAAAGGTCCTATGAGATTACATCCAGTGACTTCTGAATGGAGTGCCAAATGGGCAGTTAAAGTAGGCGTGTATTTGCAGACACTGTTCACATTCAGTATGTGAAAAATCTACTGTCCCCTTTAATAACTCTGTTACTTTCCTTGCTGGGATAGCTGCATTAGAGTAACAAATACAAAGGTCGGTCTTTACTTTTATTCAAGGTATCAGCTTCTCTTTTACTGGGGATTACTACTCATCCAGTAATTTATTATGTTTGCATTGTTTGTAGTGAAAACAAATGTTTCAATGTTAGGTGGCCTTACTAGGCTTTTTCTAAGGTATGCATGCAAGAAGTCGTTTGGGTTTGGGTTTAGTAGATGTCTCAAATTTAGTGGAATTCCTTTTTTAGCCTAGATTTTAAGGCATAGGCTACTGCCCCCTCCCCCACACACTCTAAGGCAGAACCTACTCTGTTGTAGGGAGCTGCTTATTTGTAGGCACCATATCTGGTTTTTATTTTTCCCTGGGACGCTAGAGGATTAGAGCAGATTATGGTGTTGGGATAATGTCTGACTCCTTGTGTTCCATTTAGTCATAAATAAAGCCCTGGAAAAAAAATCTCACTGTTGCTATGGTGATGTTAGTAAAAGCCTGGGATATGGAGCAAGTGAGCTGCTTAGAAGCATAATGTCACTTACAATAATGAGCATGCCATAGTTACAAACAGGAGATGAGTTTAGCTGATGCTCTGTAACTTTTGTAGCTTGCATCAGATTCTGAAGGCAGATTAGTAAATTAAATTCATATGAATATATTGTTCAGTAACTTGCAACTACTGACCTTTTAATAAATGGAAAGGTATGTTTGTATTTTGTCTGTTTACTTTCTAACTCTACTATTTTTTTCTGCTATTACGAAGAAACAAGCAACACTTCCACTCTTTGTATGCTTCGTTTCACGTGGTGGTCTGATAGAATAAAAAAATTCACAGTAATTTTGCTTTAAACCGTGTGAACAGCATTTCTTTTTCTTCCAAAAGTGTACTAAAATATAAAGTAAGATTGCATTAAAATTTATTTTTTCTTTCAGTCTTTATAACCTGGCTTCGCTGGAACTTAGAGAAAATTTGCTGACATATTTACCCGAGTAAGTGGCATTTCACGTATTTGATCACGTTAATACAACATATGTTCTTGTTCTTAAAATTTGCTAATGTCTGAAACCGAATGACAGCTAGAAAAAATATTCACTGTGGATTGACAAAGAACATTTATGAGATACAACTTTGTTTTAACAACAGCTACTTACTTCCGTGACTCCTAATTATAATTAGGAGCAGGAGTCTGCAGGCTGTGCAGATTGCTTTTGCTTAATATAACTATTCTGTATAAAATACTTCAAAACATTTCTTCCTCCACACGTTAAACTAATGCATCATGAATGGGAGCGGTAGTTTGGCTTGTTCTCACAATGGAATTTCGTAGCTATGAAAATGAGGCAATAGACTCGCAGAGGCTTCCACCCTGAGCTGCTCTGTGGACCTTTGTAAAATTCAAAGCAGCATTCATGTTAGGGGCTGAGTAGCTAAAAGCTTCAAAAACCTGGAGGTCAAAGGCTTGAAATTACAAACTGGGCCTACTGAGGTCTGAAGCCCAACTCTACCCCCAGTGGGTTGAGCAGGGAAACTAGCTGTCTCTGTATTGTCCGCGTGGTGGCAGAGGAGTCAGTGGCCTTTTGTAAGATCAGTCAGACATCTTACGATTTAGGATCCTTTTTGGCTGCTAGGAAGAGACCTATTCTTTGTCTAGTGAAACAGTTTCCTTCCTTCACTACCCGGCTGCTGCTTACAGGAGTTTTAGTGAATTCTATTCTGTTTGTTTGGATAGTCTTTCTAATAGATTACTGTAACAGATTTACTGCAATCTAATCGGCATCTCTTCCCCAGAATTAGAATCTGTTCCCCAGTTGCTTTTGGGTGCCTTTTTCCTGTCAGTCTACTCAGTACCTCGGTTGTAGCTGTTTATAGTTGTGAGCCACAAGGAACTTCAGTGATCCGAAGATGGGAATTGCTAGCTAGGTTTCTCTGTGCGGTGTCAGAACAAAGCTGTCATGAATGTTGACAATTGTATTGCTACTTGAAAATTTGAACTGTTAGTAATGAAACTGACAAGTGTCTGGTTTTCGTGTTGCTGCAGCTTTGGGGAAGGTAAGCAAAAACTGTAGAAGAGGCTGTTTTTGAAGAATAAAGATGACCCTTTATTATCTGTTCACGTTCATTCCCAAATCCAACCTGAAAGTCTTCAGAAAAGGATAGTTTAGGTTGAGGAGGCAAACGATGAACTTACTGAGTCTTAGCTTACGTTTATTTTGTATTCTATTAAATGTGATCACGATGTAGAATTTTTTTCTAGTTGCGTAACTATAAATCACCCTCAGAAGTAAATCTAAGCAACTGTACTAAACTATTGTCCACCCCAAAGAGTGATGATTAAGATCATGGGTAATGATTTGATTACCTGTACTAAGTTTTGGGTTTCAAGGGTGTACAGTTATCCCGGCAAGCAAAATATTTTTTTTCAGCAGCATATTAATGTAAGTAGTCCGTGCCCAGTAAAATAACTGCCTGTCTAGAATATGTTGTAATTTGAAATACGAGTTTCAGTAAAATGAGCTCATCATTCAAATACTGGGGGTTTCTTTTGGTTTAGTCTGGCGTGATTTTGTTCTGACTTATCTCATCTCACAGATCTCTTGCGCAGCTACAGCGACTAGAAGAGCTTGATTTAGGAAACAATGAACTTTATCACTTGGTAAGAGAATATGCGCTTAAAATGTGTTTTGGTTTTGTTTCATGGAGGTTTTAAATTAAATAGGTCATAGGATGTCCAAAATCGAAGAAAGAAAATGTGTGAAGTGTCTTTTATACGTACTGATAAATGTTGGCAATGAGCTGCTGCTGGTGTGTTTCCCATGTTTACCGAGTCTTGTTCAGTACAGTATTAGTTTACCTGAGAAATTTCTGTAGCTGTTCTCTAGAATAGAGATCCATGGATGATCTTCTACTACAAAAGAAAGCAGGTGGGAGAACACAACCTTTGTCTGCACTAGCTGTGGGAATTAATACATGAGCTTTTGTAGGAAGCTGGAAGGGCTGAGCACAGGTACATGCCCTCCTGTTTCTGGAGGTGGTGGGAACCTTTGGGAACAGCAAGAGGCAGAATGTCGAGGGTTGCAGTGTCTCACGTTGTGGCAGATGGATCTGTGAGACGATGTCTGCCATCTCACTTAAATTAATTCAATTCAGTGTTGTATTTGCAGTAGTTTGAGCGTGTGAGTGCAGTTTATTACTGCATGTCAGCTGAAGTATGGTAGCTTAACTAAGCTACAGTAATTAATTTGTGTGATGGAGTTCCCAAATGCTTACAGCCACCCTTACTGCATTAACTCTGGTACTTCTGAATAGTGCTTGAAATAAGGAATTGGTTTCCTTGGACTATAATTATGGGGTGGCTGTTTGGTTTTCACTTGTGGCTCTGATGTTACCTAACATTGTTACTACTTACGTTGTAGCCAGAAACAATTGGTGCACTTTTGAATCTTAAAGACCTATGGTTGGATGGAAACCAATTAGCCGAAATACCTCAGGTAAAGATGAGCTCTAATAATACTGTTTTGAAAACCTTTTTAAAAGAAAACTCTTTCCTTCATACTAAAAGGGAGATAGATAATCTAATACTTTATTTTTTTCAGTTAACTTTACCTGATTTAGGTTTTGAATGTTTGATGGTTTTGTCTTAATAAGTAGCTCTATAGGGGATTGTAACTGTTGCTATATGTTGTCAGACATCTTTAAAAATTTTTGACAAAGGAATTATTTGCTAGTAGACAAATTGTTCAGTTCATGGGATGAAACATCTTCTGTTTATAATCTTGGTCCAGTGATCAGGGAACCTGTAATTGGCTGATGTAACCCTGGCCTTTTGTATCTGTCTAAGCTGCAGTTTTGACTGTTTTGAGGAAGAACTGTTGTTGTCTTCTGTTCAAAAACCGTGTTTGAGAGAAGTACAATGACAGAACTCTTTCCATAAATAGAAATGTTCATCTGTGCAGGAAACGTTCTCCATCTAACAACAGGCATAAGAGGAGGGGCCTTAGCATTTGAAACTTACCCCACTCTAAATTCTGTTTTTTCAGAGCATTGGTAAAGTGTAGGAGTTTTTTTTTTTTTTTTCCTTTAGAGCCAAGTCAAAGCCTGTTTTCCCCTTCCTTGTACAGTCTGCTGTTGTTTGCTATATTGAACTCACTGTCAACACTAACTTGGAAATCGGTTACTGTTTAGTGGGCTTTGTTGTTGCTCGGTAGGGCTAGTCATTTTTTACGTAGATGTAGGTAAACGCTGATAATCATTCATAAAAGGTAAAGTATGACTTCAGCGGCTGTTTTAATTGAAGCTGGCCATAATTATGGATTTTGTTTGATATCTAAAAGATAAACTTGTAGGATAAAGGTTTTTCTTGAGTGTGTATCTGCTTAATGAAAGATCCTCTTGAGAGGGAAACATTTTCTAAATAAAAAGACTGACCTTGGAAGCTTTGGATTCAGGTTGTCACTATATGAAAATTTTATATATGTAAAAATAAGGGACAGCCCCATTTTCTCCCTGGCCATTCTGTTCTGAAGAAGATTTGGATGTCTAAAATATGAAGTGTTCTAGAATGCATACAGGGGTATATGTGTATGCAGGGAACGGGAGGGTGCTCTGATGGCTAATAGACAGAAAGGTATCTCAGTTCAGACTTTTAAGCTAATTGGCAGATTACCACTGTGAAAAAGCAAGTCGTAATAATTGTAGAGATGGCAGTATAACTTGACAATTCTAATAAGCTTGCTGGACTAGCACTCCCCATTCCTATTTCTACATTTGTTGCTGTTGGGAGATGTGAAAATATGAAATCCCTAGATGTCATGGCATGTTGCTGTATCAGCCGGGAGAGACTAATCCTAAATTGCCTTGGGTTAGTTGGGAGGGGCAGACTTTAATTATGTGGAGATTGATAGTCTGTAGTTCTGAAAAACAGCTTTCCAGTCTTCACTTGAGGAAAACTCCAGTTTTGGCTGGTGCTTGCCTGGGTGTGCTTAGTGTACCTTGTCTGATTACTGAAGCCTAGTCTGAATATTTAGAATAAGAAATTGCAACTGAGTCACTTGACTATCATGTAAAGTGGAATTACTTACTTTTTACAGCATTTAGAGGTCACACAAAGAATTCTTTTTCCTTATGGAATTTCACTGTGATAAGACATTTTTCAAATTGCTTTGTTACATGTTTGGGCATGACTTACATTTTGTCTTATTATATCACAGGAAGTAGGAAACCTGAAAAACCTGCTTTGTCTGGATGTTTCAGAAAATAAATTGGAATGCCTGCCTGAAGAAATTAATGGTCTGACTTCTTTAACAGACTTGCTTGTTTCTCAGAATTTACTTCAGGTCTTACCTGATGGCATTGGTAAGTACAAGGTGAATGTTATCACACAGAGCCATTTAATCCACTGTAAAGTGGAAGTTATTTTCAAGTATTTTGAAGTCCTCTCTTTTTGTGTAAGAGATGAGCTTGTCTCAGCTTTTTTTTTTTCTTAGTTTGAAATAACATAGCTCTGTTAATTTTACATTTTAAGTGTCTGCATAATCACTACCCTTTTAATCTTGTTTTAGGCCTGTACTTGATATCTACCCAACCAAAAACAAGTTAATATATCCGTCCTGTGTCCAAGTCACTGTCATAACTCTTAAATGTTATAAAATTCTAACTTGTATTGTGCTGTAGGTCACTTGATAAAACTGTTTGCAGAACCACTACAAAAAAGGCACCCTTTTTAGTGGGAAAGTGTAATTATCTTGAGCTGAACAATGTAATTAACCCTGTACTGAACCTGGTGGAAAACTGTTCCATCTTCAGTATATTACTCTTCACCCTTGAGGTGCCAAGCTACAGCCTTATTTGTATGTGACCCCCTAAAACAGGTTTCATAGTTGAGGAATGTTTTGTGAACCGTTATCAGTGTGCCTTTATAAGGCAAGTCATCAGCGCGGTAGTTGTGAAGTATTTTCACCAGCGCAATAGTTGTGAAGAGGAGTTAAGGGAGTGTTACTTCTGTGCAACTTATCAGCTGTTTTTTCCGGTGCGTGCTGCAAGGGTATGCCTTGTACTTGCCAGGATTTTTCTCAAAAATAAAGATGTGGGGGAGGGAGGATCTCTGAATGTGGCTTAACTGCGAAAGTGGAAAAACGTGGTATAGAATGGACATTCCCTCCAACCCCATATGCCTCATGAGCCTATGGAAAGGTAAATATTTTTCTAGAAATGAAATGGGTTTAATGGGGTTGAATACTTGTCCTATAGTTGAATAGTGTGTGTTTGGTAAAGTGTTCCAGCAGTCCTTTTTGCTGACATGAGCTGGCCAGTCCAATTTGGTAGGTAAAAAATGCAACTATGCCCTCTGAAAGAATACAGACCACACAGCTTACAAGAGGGGAGCTTGTCTATAACACCAGTAGGTGACCAAGAGGAGCTGCTTGTTTCTGAGAATCCTACTAAATTAAGGTCCCTTGCTGGGGAAGATGACTGGAGAGGGCCAGGCCATTTCAGGCTAGGCCTAATTTGTACGTATATTTTGTAATATTGTTTGGATGTGCTTTTGTTTTAAATGGAAAAAACCTGCTACCTATATGAATATAATAGTTTGCTTGTGTTTAGAAGAGTGGGTAGGGCTACAGTACTTACTCTTTCTGTGAAATATTGAAACCTGGTTGTATATGAAATTGAGGAAATCTGGTACTGAAGTTGGAGCTAACCTCCCTGGTCTGTGTGGAAGCTCCTGGGAGGAGCTCAGCTGGTGGTTCAGTCGTTGGTTGGATTGTTGTAGAGGTCATCTAGTCCAGCTCCTACTCAGAGCAGGGCTGTGACCAAGGGAGTGTGGCTGTCTCTAGTCAAGTCTCGCCCTTAAAGATGGCGATTCGAGCCTGGCTCTGCTGTCTAGTGAGGAAGCTTTTCCTAATGTCCAGTTGGGACTTCTCGAGCCTCAGTTTGTGGTCATTGCTGTCTTACGTGCTACTGCAGAAAAGACTTTGGCTGTATCCTCTCTGTCTCTTTCCTTCATGATATTGTAGGCTGCTCCTAGGTGCCTCCTTAGCTACCTCCTTGCCAGAATAAACAAGCCCAGCTCCCTCTGCCTCAGCTCACAGGTGCGCCTGGCTGTCTCAGGAGCCTTGTGCTGGATCCCCCTCCTTTCCTCAATAGCTCTCTTGAAATGGGGGGACAGCAAACTGAGCACAGTGTTGCAGGTGGGGCCCCGCTTGCGCTGAGTAAATGGGATATAACAACTTCCCTTGATCTGCTGGCCACAACTCTCCTAAGGTAGCCTAGTTGGAGGTTTATTTTATTTGTGGTGACAGCTCACTGTTGGTTTATCTGCAGCCTGGCCCCCACCATAACCCCCAAGTCCTTTTCAGCAGGGCTGCTGCACAGCCGGTGACATTCCAGCCTGTACAGACATATGGGGATTTTCTGCCCAGGTGCAGAGCTTTGTGCCTCTCGTTACTGAACTTCATTCGGTTTCTGTTTAGATTGCTGTCTTTCAGTGTATCAGGTGTCTCCTCATGATTTAGCATAATCCGCAAATTTGATCTGCCCACACATTGCAGCTATTCTGGACGACTGGCGGGTGGACAGGGAAGAAATTCTCTCTGTAACAGCTAGTGATATCTCCTCAGTTCTCTGTCTTGGATTTTGCCTGGATCAGCTTGATTTTGCATTTTTCAGCAAAAAATCTTTCTGTCTCAAAGGAGCAGAACAAGGTGGACTTTCTGCTCTGAAAAGCAGAAAGCATCTGAAAAGCATCTCTTCCTGAGATGAAAATCTTCAAAGTTGTTTGGTATCTAATCCAAAAAGTAGACTTGGGCTTCATGTCTGACTAACTGGGTGGTATATTAAGACAAGGACACCTTGATCCTGTTTGAATTTGGCTGTCCCTTCAATGTAAGCTTCTCTTACTATGGCTGAGCTGGTGATCTTCTGAACCCTCCTTTACTTATAAATATTGTAGAGAGAGAAGTTTTATCATTTGTTTTTTTTTTTTTCCCTTGGGCCTTTGGGCAGGTATGCAGCTTTTAGTCCCTTGGCTTTTACATATGGCTCCATTCCTATTGCATTTTAGTGCAATTTAAAATGCATAAATATTGAATATGAATATAAATATTAAATATGAATTCAGTAGCTGATAAACTTGTAAAGCATAGTACAAGCAGCAAGTGAAGCAGTGTTTGAATTTTTACTTGAGAAACAAACAAAACATTTCCTTGTACTAGAGAATACTAAAATTTCTGCAGCACAAAGATTTTGTTTGGCTTCTTCAGTATCGTCAAATGATCTGCTTTTAGTTAAACAAGTGTGGTGTTCTTTCTGTGTAGGAAAATTGAAGAGACTATCCATCTTGAAGGTTGATCAGAACAGACTTACTCAGCTAACAGATGCAATTGGAGACTGTGAAAGCCTTACTGAATTAGTTCTAACTGAAAACCAGCTGCTGGTGAGTATGGTCTTCACTGCTCAAATGGCTGGTGGTAATTAGACCTGCAGATAAGTGTTCATTCACTTAGCTTGTAAGGCTACTCACCTTACTATTGCTAGGCAGTGAGTTTCCTTTAAATGCACCTTATTTCTAACAGAATCACAGAATGGTTGAGGTTGGAAGGGACCTCTGAAGATCGTCTAGTCCAACCTCCCTGCTCAAGCAGGGTCCTCTAGAGCATATTTCCCAGGATCACATCCAGATGGGTTTTGAATATCTCCAGGGAAGGAGACTAAACCTGTTAAATGACTGCTAAAGATTGAATTAGGTGTAGTAACAATCCTCTCTTCCAAAGGCTTAAGCAGTTATATATTCACTTTTGAATTTTTCATGATCAGTAAGGAAACTGGAGAGCCTAGAGTGCAGGTATCATTCACTTTGTTGCTTTTTTAATGTGGAGTTTGTGTGGCATTGTGTTGTTGCCAGTTCCTGCTGTGTATTATCTTGATCAGAACTTATTGGAACTGAATAGAAGCCCCAAGTGCGCCAGAGCTCCTGTTGTACTCTCCCTTACTCTGCTGATCTGCTTCATTCAGGCGTTCAATATGACATTTGGTCAGTTAAAATAAAATTTGAAACTTACTCCTTTTAGGCAATTTCCTTCCATTATTTTTAAACTGCATTCACATGACACCGCCACTTGAAATGGCGAGTAGAAGCATTTATAAAAATTTAGCTTTGAGCATATAACTTCATTTAGGTTGGTGCTTGGTTGAGCTTATTGCCTGTTTGAAAGCCTGTTGGAAGGACACCTGTCCACAGATCAATTCATAGCACCTAAATTAGAAGTTTGCCTCTGTCAGTTAACTACTTGGGGAGCCCCAAGTTAGATAGCATGGACATTCTGCATACATGCTTCTATTAACAGCTGTTAGACATCTCTCATCTCAGTGCCGAGATGGCTCATGAGTGAATTGTATTAGAATCTGAAATCTGTGTATGTTTTTTCTGTGAAACCTTGCAACCCCCTTGGAAGGCATGGTGATAACTGAAGATAGCTGAACTCCAGTTTTGCAAGTGGATTGGTCCCTTAATTTTGTTTTTAAAGTGAGATAAGTTTTGTTCTGACTCTGAGTTTACAATACTAATTTGTGCATTGCTTTGTTTTTGGTACAGACACTGCCGAAGAGCATTGGCAAACTAAAGAAGCTGAACAACTTAAATGCCGATAGAAACAAATTAACCTCTTTGCCCAAAGAGGTAAGTCTTGTGCAATTAACTGTTACAGAAGTGATTATACGAACACAGAACTGTGATTTCAGATGCCTACAAGAAGTAACAGGGAGCTTTGATCTACTAGTATTCCTCCGAAAGAGATCACAGCCAGAAACTTGTCCATTAGATCTGAACAGCAGTTGTAGTGGTTTGGTGGCTTGAAAGTGTACAATGACTTTGAACAAGAAGGCTCAAATCTAATTAACTTATAACTAGTGATTCCTAGTGTGGATGTCAGGCCCGGCACTATTTGAAGACTAGAAGTTCTGTTTGAGTGCAATGCATTTGAACACAGATATGCCTCTTCTGTAGGTAACACAGAAATACAGCAAGGAGTCTTCGTAGCCTCACTCTTGTGAGCAGGTCGGAAGTGCAGGTTTCAGATTCTGAAAAATGATTTTAACACTGGTTTAACAATCTTTTTTGTTTTGGAGATATCAGACTACTTTTACCTTTAAACATGACGACCTGAAGTGACCAAAATCACTCATATCTCAAGTGACATCAGCTTTGATCACTGGGACTTCTTGTCCATCATAGCAGTATATGTAGTGAAATGAGGCTAGAACTTCTGATGTAAAAGTAAATGTAATGATGGCCTTAGAAGTTTAGCGCAGCAATAAATTCTGGGAAGAAGTTGTGTTGCTAGTGAAAATTAAAAAGAGGAAGCAATATACTGTTGCAGAAGCATTGAACATAGAGTTGCTTTCATTTGCACTACTATTTTTCTGTAATTTTTATCCAGGTAATTCTTCCTCTTAATTTTCCTACGTGTAGCTAACCCCTGACTTTTAGGTAGTAGGTTTTGTACACCACATTGTCATCCCTTAAACTTCAGGAGGAAAAGGGGTTGTCAGGTGGCAGCTAGTGAATGGGAATTGAGAAGTATCAAAACTGGCTAGTTAGCACACACTTCCCCTTCGGCCTTCCTGGCTGTGGACCTGTGACAGCACGAGGAAGAGGCAAAGTGACCGGGAACTAGGAGGTGGGAAGAGAGCCTGGAAAGAAGAAGAAGAAAAGAAAAAAAAAGTTTGGAGAGGAGGGATTGGGAGAGGGAAGAGGGATGCTACTGTGGCGCTCTCAGCAGCTACATGTAATGACCAGAGGGTTCTAACAGTGCAGGTCTCAGCTTCAGCAGGTCAGTTACAGAGAAGGGGCTGCACAGTAGTCCTTACATATTCCTTTCCAGTTTGGCTTGCAAGTGTGTCTTTGGGGTGGGTGGTGGGAGAGGGAAGAACGTGTGGGCACTGAAGCTTCTCTTGCAGAACGGTTTCTTCTCCACAGAGGTGCTGACAGCAGACCCCGACTGCATAAATGCTAGCAAGAGATAGGATCCTGGCAAAACCAGGTTTCAGGGTCGGATGTTATGACAGTTTTGATATTGTGGTCCTTTAGCTGAAAACTTTCCATGTCTTTACAAAGAACTTAAATTAACACATTTCGATGGGTGTTCTAAAGTATTTGTACTTGAGCCTGTATGATTTTGAGCCTAATCCACCTTTAAGCAGAACTGCTCTGAGTATAGTACAGCATGTGAGGTTTTATGGATGCACTATATTTCCAGAATCACCATTCGTAGCTTATGTAGTTTATAAATGCTTTTCTTAGTTAATGATGTCCATGGTACTGGAAAGGGAAGAATCTCCCAAATATTTTATGTGTTGGGGAAAACTGGAATGCCCTCACTGTGAAACATCACAGGGAAAACATTTGCATATACAAGGAGAAGAGCTTATAGCCTTCCTGTATGGGACAACTTGTAAGAGACATAAGACTTGGAGATGGTGTATAAAGCCTATTGTAAGGAGGAAGGTATGTGACGAGGAGCAGCATGGCTTGGAAGGATCAGGGACAAGGGTGAGAGGAGGAGGCTTGGATTCAGAAGAAAGTAAAGTGGAATTAATATGGGGTGTGTGTGTGTTTGCCTGGGGGGAATAACAGAATCAAGGGCTTTGTGCAGAACAAAAAAAGAGACTGATGCTAAAGACAAAATCATGGACCTGGGACCGGGAGTGGGTGGCAGAGGGGGAAAGTACTGCCCAGTCAGTGAGGGAGCAAGGGTTGTTGAAGGGTGAAGTGAAGAACAAAAACGTGCATGGAGAATGTTAGTGCACGTAGGACTTCTGGCATGTGAAACAGAAGGGAGGGACACTCTTGCACAAGGGGTGCGATAAAGTAAGGGATGAGTTTGTGTTTGGGGAAGAGGGGTGATGAGGAAATGGCATATCGTACCTGAAATGAGATGAGCTGGAGAGTAATAGAAAGTCCATGAAACAAAGATGAGAGAGCATGGCAGAGAAACAGAGGAATACAAAGAGCTCCTTGATATCCACCTCTTTAAAATAGATTTTTTTTTTTTTTCTGTAAAGGTCTCCACACTTGTGTGTGTATCTTATTAGAGCAAATACTTTGAAATAACATTTAACCATAAGATTTCCCGAATGTTTCATTAAAGTGTGTTTTTTGTTCTGTGAAATTTGTGTTAGAATCCCTTGAAATTTAAAGAAATTTAAAGAAATCAGTCCTCCTCTAACTGGAGGTAATATCTACCCTCTAGATCGGGGATCTGAATTCAGAATTGGCAGTGGTAACAAGCAGAAAGTAAGTTACTCCTGAATCCATAAAGAGCTGATGTAATGGCTTGTCTTAACAATGTTGTTAGTGTGTGTGCATTGCAGTTCCTACCATCTAGCTACCCAGGCTTATTATGGATGCACTATATTTCCAGAATCACCATTCGTAGCTTATGTAGTTTATAAATGCTTTTCTTAGTTAATGATGTCCATGGTACTGGAAAGGGAAGAATCTCCCAAATATTTTATGTGTTGGGGAAAACTGGAATGCCCTCACTGTGAAACATCACAGGGAAAACAGTTTTCAGTTTCAATTCCTTATGCTTAGGCTGTGTAATAATACGCTTTTGCCTCAAAGTCTTTTTAGATTGCCTTCTAAAAATGCTGAAATGCTATTTTTGAATACAGAGAGCAATCTACAGTTCTCTGCTCATGTTTTGTCTACTTCTGGTGGTGCATTTTCTTTACCACTAGCTTTTTACTGTAAACCAAACATGAGCAATTATGTAGGACAGATTTTCTAGTAAAAATTCAGAGGAATTCAGTGGAGAGTCATGCTTGAGAGCTCTAAAAGAAAAATACTCTGTAAACAGAGTGCACGGGTATAACAAGTACTGTTTACTCTTAGGCAAACTATCCACAGAAGCAGCTTCAGGGGTGCTGATAATGGCAAAGATGCCAATGTTCAGTTTCCCTTTAGATGGGAGGTAGGAAGAATTTGGTGTCTTGGTGAAATGTTCAGTTGCCACGTTCCTCTTCCGCATTATTGGCTTAAGAACTGCCCCCCCACCACCAACAAAAAAAAAATTAGTAGGAGAAAAACTGAAGAAAAATTGGAACATCACCCTTTTTCTGTTTGTTGGGAGGTTCTGCTGATGGTGAGAAAGCATGCCATCTTTAGCATTTATTTTCATCTCAAGCTAACTAATATTTAAAGTTGGTCACAAGCTTCTGGCAGCAGTCGTTTTCAACACCACTACCTGCTGCGTGTTGCTCAAGATATCTCTTGAGATGGTACGGGGAACATTGGTGTCTCAGACCTTCACATGTCAGTCGGTTTTAGCCATTGTACACTGGTTCCCTCTTCACAGAAGCAGAGTCAAAGAGGTGGGAATAGAGTATGCACTGCCAATATTCTTGCTTGATATTTTCCTTTCCCTCTTCTTCTTCCTGCTTTCTCTTCTCCTTTCCCTGTCTAACAGAACTGCTGAAACAGCTGTGTGATTGTGACCTTCATCCATAAGAAGTGAGTGTGGGATAAGCCCTTACTTCCTTCTCCACGTCAAGATTTTTGTTGGAGGGAAAGGGATATAGAGTCTAACAGCATGGTATATAGGAAAAGTGGGGCCCTATCCTAAAGAGAAGAATACCAGTACCGTATGTCATATCTAGCTGCTTGTGTATCTGTCCCTTCCTCCAGAATTATTCTTGCAGCACAGAGAACTTTTATAGATGTGATGGCAGAAACTGTGTGTCTGTTCTAATATAGCCTGCTGAGATAAGTTATGAATTCTAGCTTTTCTCTTTTTTCTTTCTTTCTTTTTGGTTAGCAGTTTACTAGGATTGGATTTTGAGTCAGCCTGTCAAATATTACATTACATTACCAGATGGTTTCTATGCAGACCTGTAAAACCATTCTACCTTCTGCTGTAAGATTTCTTGGGGTTATTGAGGAACTTGAATGCAATACCCCTTCAAAGTTTCCTGGTTCAAATGTTCTTCTATATCAGGTTTCGGTATATAAGGTGAATCTGAAACAACTGAATGTCTGACAAAGACTTGAGTCACTGGCTGGTTTCTTCCTCAGTATCTCATCTTGGAGACTGAACTCTCTCTAAATGAAGTGACAGGCGAAACAGATTTCAGCAAGAGCTGAGTATGTCTAAACCTGTTCAGTGTTACAAATGTTTTTCCCTTTAAACTTGAAAGACCTGCCTGGTGACTCTTTAGTATTGAAATCTCACCCTGACACTGGAACGCTGGTGAAACTCGTGTGTTGGTTTTGGCGTTACATGAATAACCTCCTTAGACTATTTTCCAGTTCATGTGCTTTTGTTAATGAGTCTCTACAACTTGCAGAGTTCTGGTAATGCGGCCTTCCTGACTCTGATGTATATTGCGCCTGAGAATATTACTACAGTAGGTGAAACTGTAGGCTTGTTTGGGTAATAACTGCTTTTTTAGGTAATTTTTTTTTTTTAACAAGTTTAGACTGCTTTGTTATTTCTTGTTATTTCTGACCGTATTTTCCTGTGTCCCGTCCCTTCCCTCATTTGTGTAAAAGTGTGTATTTGGGTGCCTCGGTGAGCGGGGGCGAGGGGGAGACAGTAAGGAAGAACGCAGGAAAACTTGTCTTCAGTGAGACGGAAGAGAAGCTGTGTTGCTGTGCTCCTTCCGTGTAGTCAGCAGTGGTGCAGGGATATTGAAGTGAATTTATAGAAACCAGCCCATTTAAAGTTTAGTTAGTTGAGCAGTTTCCTCCACCTCTAAATATATTCTATACTTGCAGTTAAGGGATTAAATGCATTTTATCTGGGGCCAAGGAAGATTCTGACTTTATTTGCTCTGTCCAAACAGAATTTTGGTTATGACACCCTGAAAACGGTTTCACAGCAAAATAGGAACTATATTTAAATTCCTTATTTGTTTGAGTTGTGTAAGAGTTCTTGATGCTGACTGCTGTAATGAGACTTCAGTAAAAGAGATGTCACTAGTTCTTCAATTGAACGAGTCACGTGCTAGACTATTGTTGATATTTGTCACAATTTCATATTTTTTGCATAGCTTATGCATGTGTAAAAGATGCTAACAAAGGTTAGTAGAATTGATTAACAGCTTTTGTGCAGTTAACGGATTATGAGATCAAAAAATATTATTCAACTGAAGTAACTTTAAGGTCTTTTCAATTTCCCACCTTTAATTTGTGTTTTGGCTTTGGGGCACTAATAACATGGGTGGATATCACAGTATTTCAGAGAAATCCAGTTAGTGGTGGTGATGATTACTGCAACTGATTGCTTGGTCTCAAGAGAGGGAGTAAAAGTGAATGTTCGGGAGGGATCTAAAAGGAAGAGAGAGATGAATCTGTACCATCTTCTTGAGTTAATCTACAGAAAGCTGCAGGAGTTCAGGTGCAGAGGTATCAACAGCAGGAAAAAAGCCAAATGCCAACCACAAGGCTATCATAACAGAAGATAAAAGCCGTAAAAGCCAGGTGATCAAAAATATGCAAGTGATGCAGGTCTCAAAACTACAGTCTGTCTGCAACAGAGAAGAGGAGTCATCAGAAACATTAGCAGAGAAGTGATATGATAAGACTGACAATTCTGGAAGGTTGTTTAAGGTAGACTGGCAGTGGCTGTGTGGATGTCCAGAAAGTGGAAGGCTGAAGTAATGGACATGGTCATGATCAGAACATAGAGGGGAGTTTTAGCAGCCAAGCTGACGTGTTCTCTATGCATACCCAAGTCTTACTGTTCCTTCAGAACAAGGAAGCTGTTGGAAAGATGAGTCTCAGCCTGAGACAGAAGAGAAGAAGACTCAGTAAGGGTAGACTTTTGTGCGGAACCTAGAGGAATCTTGCTGACGCTCATACTCTGATGCAAGTCCATCTACAAATAAGCAGTTTTGTTCGTATTTTATAGTTGTAAAATTGATAATACTTCATAGTAAGGATTGTTTTTCTCCTTGGATTCCTTCTGACTAATGGCTTTTTTTAATCTGAGCTGATTGTTTTGGGGGAATGGTGAGATCAGACGAGTGAATAACTCTAACTTAAAGTTGCTAGAATAAAATAAGTCTCAGAAGTTTTGTGTATCACTTAGGCATACACAACTCATTTTTGAGTTGAGACGTTTTCCTGATGTCTAGTCCATTAAAGAAGAATGTCAAGACTTCTTTAAGCCTCAAGTCTTTGGAACAGTTATTCATGTGCCTAGAACTAAGCACATGCTTGTCCCATTACTTGAAGTCTGTGCTCAAAATGAACTGTATGCTTAACTGTTAAATGGGCTTGTGGTCTAAAATGTGTACTTGGTGCATATGTGATGGTTTGGCAAAGTCTGTTGTAAGCATGTGATCAAACCCAGGGAAAGCATGAGCAGAGTGCCTGGCTCTTTGTCGGTTAATGACTCTCAGCCAAACCAACAGAGTTCTGGTACTGTATTACTTCATAGTGGTCGCAATGATATTTTTCCTTCAGCATGCCATTTAGTGTGTGCACTTTGCCTCAACGGTACCCCTCTGTGTTTAGGTTTTTCCAGACATTGGACCTAATGTCTTTCTTTAGTGCTGGATGGTTGCAATCTTTTTTGAAATGACAAAGGTTTTATTTTGTAACTACCAGCTTATCCTTTTTCCTGTGATAACTCACCTGATGCTAACTGCTTGTTAGATGCTGCCTGCATTTTATAAAAACAGTTTCATAAAAAGATTTTAATATCTTGTCTCATATCTCCCCCCACTCCTTTCTTCAGAAAGTTGTCTTTACCTCTGAATTCAACCACAACTTTTAACAATTACCTATTGACTGATAGGTGCAAAGTTAAAATAATTGACAGCAGCAACTTATGAGTTCTAACACTCTTTAGCAGTAAAAGAATGTATGTTCTGTCTCCGTTTGTTGGCATGCTCTTGTCCAGTATGGATTAAAAAAAAGATAAATTGAACATCTCTTGTATTTTCTTAATTGTTAGCCGCTTGGAAAATTATGGTCAGGTAAATTGGTAACCCTGTAAGTATTATTCAGTCCATGATTCCACTGTTACCTTTCATTAAACTGCTTTAAATGCATGATGACTCAAGCTGGCTGGTTCCACTGCTGCATTTTTTCATTGTCGAAAGTATAGAAGTTTCAGTCTCATCAGGGCTGCATGGCTTGCTTTGTTTGTCTGGCTAAATTGTTTGGATCTCCATGCTCCAAGACTGAATAACTCAAACTTCATTCATGGAAAAGCAAACACTTTGCGTACAGTTAGGGCATCACTTTCCAGTTCATCCAACATTCACTAACTGTATCTCTTGCTTTTCACGGCTCCTCATGTTAGATAACACCAATTAGACACTTAACATATATATATTTTCTATATGGCACTCCATATTCTGTGAACGTGTCAAGGCACGTTGTTTAAGAATCTAGATGTACTTTAAAGGGATTCGCAGAATTACTGTGCTAAAAATGCTTGCTTATGATTTGAGTGCTAGTTTCTAGGGCCTTTGATTCATGAGCTGAAATGGCTAAGAAGGTTTCTGTTCTTCGTGTACGCACAGGGCCTAAGGAGCTCATCCTCTTGTGAAATAGCTGCAGCTTGGAGTGCAGTGGTATCTGGGAAATCATCCCAGATTTTGCTTTGTCAGCATGATGTTGTGGTATAACTGCACTGTAAATAGCTTGTGAATCAGAAGCCTTGAGCAGCTGATGGCTGCTTTCTTCTGTTAAAATGTATGAGGAAGGTGAGTGGGTATAGATGCTCCATTTGCTTGGTTTATTTTCAAAGCCACAGTTGCGCCTTTCTAAAACCCCTTTCTCCTTGGTAAATAGTGTAGGTTAAATGGACGTGATTTTTACTTCGACTAGTGGAAAAAGCTTTTGTGGTTTTTTGTTTGAGTCATCTAAAACTTGGTTTTGGATTGACTTCTGCTTTTGGCAGAGACAGAACTGATAGTTAACTAAAACACTTCAGTAAGTAATTCCAGAGTGGATTTGGGGACTTCTGACCAAGGTAAGTGAGAGATGTTGGCTATGTTGTGGTAAAAGAGCCTTACTTCTTAAAAGAGAGTTTTTCTTTCAGTAGTCAATATAGCTGGTAAATGAGAGACGCATGTTTTTAGCTCCCTCTGAAGAGAGCTCCTTAAAGAAGCGTCGCTTAGAATTATATGCCATTTATCCAGAAGTATAGAAATATTTAATACTTTATTTTCATATTTACATATAGGTAAGTTTAGAATTCCTTATTTTTGAACTAAGAATTTTCAGTAGATTTGCAGTCTGTAATTCAGTTCTAAGTGCACTTAACTTGAAAGCTTCAAAAGCTATTTTACCTCTAATATTTGGAGAAAGGGAAGAAAGGTGTGGATTTTTTTGGTTTTGTTTTTCCTCTCATGGGGATTTTTGGAATTGGAAAGCAAGCAGTAATACTTTTAGATGCTACATAAGATAAGTAAGCAAAGGTAAGTTTGTGACTAGGAACAAAGTTATTTGAAGCAACTTTCAAGTCACTAAAATTAATAATCTCACTGTTTGTAGGAGTAGTAATTGCCATCTGGAGCAAAAAGTCTGATTTTTTTTTTTAATAAATGTAAAGGCTTTGTTTTTCTGCAAATAGGTACCTTTGATGCAAAATAAAAATGTTTTAATAAGAAATTTGAAAAATCTCATATTTTGTACATAGAAACTAGCTTGGGAAGGCAGATGTTTGTGTTTGGATAAAGTGATAGAGACAGAGAATATTAGATTAAATTGGCAAGTTCAGATGGGAATCGTTGTGAAATTAGATGCTTCTAATAAAACAGAACACCAGAGATGATGCTCGTAAAGTCTTCTACTTTTTGTGAGCTCTTCATTACTCTTTGCTGACTCAATAAATGTCAGGAGTTGATTGTTTTATTTAGCATTTTGCATTGCCTGAGGCCCCATTGCACTTGGTTCTGTATGGTTACTGTGAGGAAAGAAAGGATTAATAGGTAAATACAGAACTAGAAAACACTGAAAGTTAAAGCTAGTACTTTTTTCTGAGAGTAGTCTACAAAGTGACATCTGTATGAGGTTACTGATCTCTTCCTGGCTTTGAAGGTTGTACAAGGTAGGTAGAACCTGACTTCTTTATCAAGCTATACATTATTGATAACTAAAGCTATTCAAGAAACCACTACAATATACTCCCTTCAGGTCAGATTTCTTTTAAGTTTACACTCGTTTGCAGACTGCGCCCCAGAGGGGTGAAGTGTCTTGCGGCCATTGTAACTTGAACGTGCTATGACATATTATGTGACCTGCACTGCATGCCTTTGCTTATATTATAGTACTGAAACAAAAACAGACTTTTTCCTCTCCTTTCTAATATAGATTGGGGGGTGCTGCAGTCTTAACGTCTTTTCTGTACGTGACAACAGATTATCTAGAATTCCCTCTGAAATTTCACAAGCCACTGAACTTCATGTCCTGGATGTTGCTGGAAACAGGTAAAGAGATTTTTTTATTGTCACATTTCTCTGCTGGTTTTACTTAATTCTCTCTAAAGACAAAGACATTAGATCTAAGAGTGAAGTAGCAAAAAGCTAATTCTGAGTTTTGTGTTAGCATGACTATTGAAACTGTCAAAGAGTTCTTCCCCTGTGGCCTGAAGTAGCATAAATGGTGTATTGTCACAAGTAGCTTTTCTGGACCGCTTTGCCGATGAGGAAAAGACAAAAGTTTCTGGGTTTATATGTTCCTGAATTTCTAAATTAAAACTGATAGCTTCAATCGAAGTTTACTCGATTATCTGCCTTAATGGCAAATAATTTCACAGTAGAAGTTGATTGTCGAATAAAAGTTTTAATTTTGAGTGCCTTATGGCAAAATATAATGCAGGTAATCAATAGTGCAACTCAGACCTTGTGTCTTTTTCATAAGTCTTAATTGATACAGTTCAGAAATCAAAATGCAGAAAGGTGTAGACAGAAGCATAAAACAGCAAAATAGTGTAGTTGCTTGGTAGGAAGGTAACACAAAAAACGAGAGGAAAAGCAAGTGGCATCTCATTTATGTAACAGAATTCTTTCACAGGCACTTAGATACTTCTGTTCTACCAATTGTACGTACAAAGCCCTAGAGTAAAAACAGCAGTCTGCCTTCCAGTGCCGTTAACTGCAGCAGAAGAAACATTATTTTATCAGCATTATTTTATCTGATGCTCACTGCTACAGACAATTATGGTATAAAGTTAAGCTGCAGGTTCTCCTTAGAAGACTGGGATAGTTTGAGTTGATCGATGCTGTAATGCCTTGTTTATGGACCTCAGTTCCCTGTTTATTCCGACTCAGCAGTATATGCACAATAGAATATCATAAAGTTGACTCGTAAGTCACCTAGAAATTGCCCTGCATCTTTTACTTTTTTTTTTTTTTTTTGAACTAGGCTGATGTATCTTCCCCTCTCACTGACTACCTTAAAGCTGAAGGCTTTGTGGTTGTCAGATAACCAGTCCCAACCTTTGCTGACGTTTCAGACTGACACAGACCCTGAAACAGGGGAAAAGATTTTAACGTGTGTATTACTTCCTCAAATGCCTTCTGAGCCTGGTTGCCAAGGTAAGTACTTAGTCAGTTTTGCTTTATGTAGAAATACTTTTTTTTTTTTTTTTACTGTGTTGTCTGTTCCCTAAAAGTTTGTAAAACAGGCTTTTTGAAATCTGTGCATTAGCCCTAATGAGCACAGTTCTGATTGAGCTTTCACCTAAGAATATGTTTTCTAATCACGCTAGTTTTCAAACAACTTTAAAATATGGCTGTGAGTGCTACTGAATGTACAAACCTGACTACAATATATGAAATATATGAAGATCTGGAAGAGGAACACATAATTGTATCATTATCTGAGATTTTCCGCTGGGCTGAGAAGTGGTATCCATATTTGTGTATAGTGGCTATACATTTTAAATACATATATGTGGTGAAAACTGGTGGTTTTGCAACTACAGTCTCTTTACTGGAAAAATAATTGAATAGCTGGTAGTAAGCAGTAGGCATTTAACTTCATAGCACACTATACTTCTTTAAAGCACGGATACTGTACGGTAGCTTTATTCTTAGACATGTGCAGAACTGATGAGGAAGAGCAGATTTGCACCGTACGTTGTTTTTATCCTTTGTGCCTAAACTTGCCTCTAGGTCAGGTGGAACCTTAAAGTCTTTTTCACCTGTTGATGGGCTGCCACCCCAGTAACTTCTGGATGTTTTTTATCTCCCAAAAGCTTTTACAGCAGTGTGTAAAAGTTCAAGGGGATTTATCTGAGCTAATCATTTAAACTCTTACTGTGATCATTGGATAATTCATCCTATCCCAAAATAGACTATTAAAAGAAAGTGTATGGATTACTTTCCACTCACTGCAGAGGGCACCAGCTCAGCTGTACATACTTCTGTTGTAGGTGTCCAAACTTAGGTGAGATTAATCCCGCTCCTTCAATACTAGGGAGTTGGAGCAAACCAACCAATAGAAACAGTTTAAAAAAAAAAAAAAAAAGTTCTGACACTGTTCTGTGTCAGTTTCTGGATTTTAAGAGCATACAGATTAAGAATTAAATAAATGAATTAACCCACAGCACTCAGTAGAAGAAAACAAAGCTAGCTCAAGAGTGGTAGCTGAGGCAGATTGACTTTCTCTAAAGGCCTGACTATTAAAAATTAGATTCCCTCTTCCACTGATGAATCTTGTAGCTTCAAGGGTACAAGGCCCTGAGTTAGGATTGTTGGACGTCTGTGTCTAGCAATAGTAGAAGGTTAGTAAAAGTAATGATAGTGGGCTATGGAATGCCATCTAGGGCATTGGCTAATATTAGATGGCAGCCCTATTTTGAAAGAAGAGCATGTATCGTGGCAAAAACATTAAATTGTATTATTACATCATGATATTATATCATTAAAACTGTCACAAACTTGAAACTGTCCAAATACAGAAACTTCTCATTTATGCAGAAACTGCTACTGATCGTGTATACTTGATAAGAAAAGTTAACACTAGTTCTCTTTTCCGTCCAAAATACAGAAATAGCCCATTGCAAACCCAGATGAGTGATTGGTTGGTTATTGCAATTAATAATAATATATGATTTGATATTTTAGAGTTGCTGTGAATCTTCAGTTATGTTTGCTGTTCTAACAGATAACCTGCCACGATGTGGTGCTTTGGAAAGCTTGGTAAATGAAATGTCAGATGAGACATGGAATGAGCGGGCGGTGAATAGAGTCAGTGCAATTCGCTTCTTAGAAGATGAAAAAGATGAAGAAGATAATGAAATGGTATGTTTTCCAAGCCATTGGACACCCACAAACACTGTGACTTTAATGCAAAAGTCTAAAAAGTCTGAGCTGTCTTGCTACAAACATTTCAGCTGTGACTGCACACTTTTTATATGCATGTTTTTATAGCAGAAACTTCTCATACTAACTGCTGAAACTTTTCATATTGACTTCAAATATATTTTCTTCTTCTTATTATTTTTTTTCTCCGAACATATCTTTCAGTTCTGATGCAAGACAGTCTTTATTTTGCATTGTTTTCCTGGGTCTCCTTAAGATGTTTTCCTTCCAGCCTTCCAGAAACAAGATAGGATCTTCCTCTGCATCTGTGAAGCTTTACTGCCTAAAGTTATATAGGGCCTAAACAGGATTCCAGCACTCTGGCATGTCTCTCCATGAAGTTTGCTACTCTGTTACATTGTTTGCGTCTCTCACTTCCAATCTGTCCTGCTGTCTCTCTCTCTCTAATTTTTTCTCCACCATTTGCATTGAAACAACCATAGTGTCCATGAACAGCAAGAATGTTGCTCATTAGTTTTACACTTACAGAAAGGATGTGGGAACATCTGTCACTGTACTTATTAGACCTCCATTAAGTTGGGCTCTGCACATCTTGAATATCAAAATGCTACGTGGTCTTTAACTTTCTCCAACTTTTATTAACAACTAAACCTCCTTGTAAAGGTTAAGACTGCTTGAATCAAATTTTCAGCAGGTTTCTCTGATACTCTAAAAACTTACTGGTGGTTCTCATTGTGTATCAGAGTTGGGCTGAAAATACAGCTTTAATTCAGTTTTGCCAGTGCCAAACCCTAATTTTAAATCTCCTGTTACATGGAAACTTAGATCTGAGCTTGAGATAACTCAGACCACTGTCTGAAGTGTAGTACGCTAAGAAGCATGGTCTTACTTTAAAAAGTGACTTTAACAATTCTTACGAGGTAGGGAAATGAACATTTCAGTTTTCTAGTAAGATGCTTGCTTAATCAAAAGTGCTAGAAACTAAAAGTTTCTGACAAGCATAATTCCCAGATAGCCTGATAATGCGGTTCAGAGTCTAGGTATGCACTCTGCGTGTCTGTCTGGGTTACTGTCAGCTAACTTAAACAGGGCTGTGGTAGTGTAAACTCAGTAAATAGTCTTTGGTGCATAGATGGAATACGGTCTGCTCATTTACTGTTTGTGACATCTAGGGAACTAAGGACAGTATGAGATCTGTCTATTGGAAAAAGAGGGTCCAGAATTCAAAGAACAAAGCTGTATCTTTTTATAGGAAGGTTTCTTGTTCACAGTTTTCCAGAATAAAGCTTACTTTATTTTTTTCAAAAAATTGTGAACGACTGTATGACCAATTATGTTCCAAACTTTTTTTGTCTTGTTGATTTTCATCTACAGTGATACAGAAATAGACCGTTTCAGGTAATAAGGCTTCTTAACTGAAAATCGGAGCATTTGGATGGGAATTCATTGCTTTTTTTCTTCTTCTTCCCTTCCACTTACCTCCCCATTCCCATCTCCTTTGGGAATGGCCACTTGATCCAATCAAGATCCAGGGATGGTAGCAAGCTGATGCTCATCAGCTGTGCTGGGCATTTGACTAGGGTATGTTGTGAGTCCCTGTAGCTCCCAAGATGATGATGCTTCTTAAGAACTGTGCCAGACTGAGAATGTCCATACAATTTCCATGGCTCAGGCACTAACAGTGGCTGCTTTGAGTAATGGTATTACATCCTGACTTGAGGCAAGAACTTTTCTGGGAGAAAAACAGAAGCCTATGATCCTATTGGAGGGAGAGGGGAATTTTCAAAGCAGTCTTGACCAGTCTACCCATTTATGTAATCTAAATAGTTTACATGTATAGCACTGAAAACTGATTGCATGTATATATGTATTATGCTGATACATATTTGTGCAATTACTCTTAGTGTACTGTTGGTCTCTAATCTGGATGCTAACTGAAGTTTTTGTAACTTTTGTTTTCCTTGCAAAGGTGTCAACACAATGGTGTTACATCCTTGTGTCTAACATGCAACAAAAATACTCCCCTCCCTTTAAGATCTTTGTTTTCAGTTGACAAGAGAGCCAAACTGTTTGATGGGGCCGAAAGGCATATAGATTTCCATACAAACATGTAATTGACACTATAGAGAGACCTTGTGGGATTCTTTCAAAACTAGCCGGATTTTTTTTTGTTTTGGGTTGTGATCTTAAATCACTTGCATGGTCTTGAAAAAAAAATCTCAACTATATTTATAAAAGAATCTTCATTTTGTAACTTGTAATTGCACTTCGTTTTAGTGGTTTTCCGATTGATAGGTCAAGAGAGGAAAAATTTTCTCCTAGGCAGTTCTTAAAACTTCTTTCACTATCTTCATCAACAAGTGCCTAGGAAATAACGTTCAAAATAAAGCACAGTTTAAAAAGAAAAGAAAAAAATGAAATTGACAGCTAATATTTGGTATGTAAATGCTAAAGCCTTGCAAGTGTGTTGTTTTTCAAAGAGACGAAGGCAAAACCACTTATTGCACTGTTTATTTTTAGAGAACACTTCTAAGGCGAGCCACTCCACACCCTGGAGAATTAAAGAACATGAAAAAGACAGTGGAGAATTTACGGAATGATATGAATGCTGCTAAAGGACTGGATTCAAACAAAAACGAGGTCAATAATGCCATTGACAGAGTGACCACTTCTGTGTAGAATTTCATCTCCAGATTTTACCTCCTGTGTCTTCCCCTGCTGTTGAAATGTTCCTGTCGTCTTCTGGGACCTCACTGAACCCCCTTTTGTTTTTAACCAGAATCAGATTCATCATCTCCATATATGTGAAAAGTGCTGCCCACTGGAAGAAAGTGCCTTATTTCATCCAGGCAGTGAACCAGTAATTTCCAAATCAATATTGTAATTTTAATAGTGCTAGGCTTTTTTAAAGTATGATACACTACTGTATTCAGAATACAATATTTTTGTCTTAAGCACAGGGGAAATAATGCTTTTCTTCTCCAGATTGCTGGGATATCCTTTTCCCAGTGGCTGGATGTGCTGGTGGGAAACATAGTTTTGTGGAAAATTGATACTTTTTTTTATTTTGTTGGCAGCTCAGATGGTGTAAATTTTAAAATTTTGTATAGGAGTTTCATAACAAAATGGTGTATTTCATTTTTACGAGAAAATTTATCTTAAGCGGTACTTATTTTAGTATTTGTGGAAGAGAACAGGTTTCACAGACAACTGTATTCGTTTCTACCACCCATTGTGCCTTAATATGTCTTGTACGTTATATTAGTCTTAAGAGAAATAGCAATTCTTGAGAAAAGTGGGTAGTTTTAAACTTGGTGTCCTGTTTTAGATATGTTCTAAATTTCAGTCAGTAATTTGTTGGGACTTTTACAAAACAGAACTTATGTTTATATCATGGGATTTTAGTTTGTGAAGCACAAATGTTAGTTTTGTTGTATACGGAATTAAGATAAAAATGACCAAACTGCTATTGTTTATTACATAATGCACTCACACTTTAACTTAGTTGTAATGAAACATCTTGTTTTGGATGCAGTGTTGCATTGCAGTCAATAGAAATTCATGCTTCCATTTTGTTTAAATGTGCCATCTGTAAAATAACTTGAAAAACAGCACGATAGACTTTCAGAAGCACAATATGAAGCTAGTTTTATGTATTACACAAGAAAGCATGATTCTTTAAAGTGCTTTAGTGGTTTTATATAAATATATAAAACCATAATAAAAAATCTTTAAAAGCCTCACTAGATTTATTGTATCATTAAAATAGCAATTGAAGTATGTATGGCATAATGCTGAAATCCATTATCATTGTTACTGTGTTGCACTTCCAGTGGTCCAATGCTGGTTTCAAGGTCTTAACGAATCTTTAGATTCTGATTTGTTTATAAAGGTAAGCATTATGTGAGTTGAATTTGGTAAATAACAGTTGTGAGAAGGGTTGGTGAAAATTGTTTTTAGGCACAGGAAAGTACAATGCGAAGTTACATTGAAAAGTTTCCCCTGTTGTCCATTCCACTGTGTCTGTACTGGGAGGTGGGATAAGTGATGTCAGATCAGTCTATCCATATGAGGGTCCTGAATACAGAGTCTGTTGCTGAGATTTGAAAAATTAGTACGGTATTTGGTGTCTCTGGATTCTGTGCATTCTATGAGCTAACAAAGACCACTAGCTCATTCCATGCAGAGGCTTGAGCAGTCTCACTTCGAAGCAAAGAGTCAACATATTTACCGTGAGCTGATGCAATGAACCCAAATTTCAATAAAGTGAAACACTGCAACACTTTTGCATGTATGACTAACTGTGTCCTTCCTCCCACTTAGTATTTCCTCCTGGAAGTTCTGGTTTTATATGGGATTCTGGAAGAAGATTGGGAAGGAGGAGGTCAGGGAGCAATACTAACTTCTCTGTTAAAATTGTGAAATATTGAAGGTTATAATAAGTTTTTGCAAATTAACAATTAACTTTTTATTTTGAAGCTTTTTCGAAAAGTATTGCTTTCATTTTGGTATTGAACAAGTGGGCGTTGCAAAGCACTGCCAAATACTCAAATCTAAAACAGCAAAATATATGAGATTTTTATGGTTTGTTCTCATCCCAAAGATTCCTGATTTAAACTTCAAGGTTTGATGTATTTGCAGGAGCGGTTGCAATTTGATAGACATTAGGTTAGTTTGAGGTAATGAATTTCACTCTTCCCAAGGCAGAGATCTGCAGCTGTTCTTGGTAAGCTGCTATTAAAATAAAACCAGAAATAAAATGAGATTTTGGTACAGCTGACTCTAACCTTGGATAGAATTTTCCTTTTAAAGTCCTGACAAAATAACAATTAGAAGTGGAAAATACTTGGACTGTATATCCAGAGTCCAAGTAAACGTCAGCAAATCCGTTTGAAGGAGATGAAAATGAATTCCTTAGGAAGGACAGATTGAAGACAAAGACGGCAAGACTGTGTGCTCTGTGATGACAACTCTAACGT